GTGCAAAGTATCACTTAGTGCAGTGGACTGTGACCTGAAGGCTCTCAGAAAGCTTACATGTTTACAACATCATTTCAAGTAACGAATTGCTGGTTTGTTTTATTTTGTTCTATATTCAGAATGTGAGAGAAAACACAACCAACTGAATTTTCTTCTAGAAAATGAAACTGTCTTCTCAGATGCACTCATGGTTACCCAGGATGTTTTAAAAAGACTAGAAGTATGTGCAGAAATTAAAGGCCCACAAAAGGAGGTAAGTACCTCTGAGTTTTATTTCTTTGCTAGTTTAGTGTTCTCATGATACCATATCAACCTCTTATGGGGCAACAGAAATATGAAAATGCAAAATATCCCAACATTTCAATTTTTTGAAATGTTAACTTTTTTTGAGATTTATTCTATAAGGAGCAGTCTTCAAAAGGTATAGGCAAGATACTTTTAAAATGAAGTTTATATATAAGTACATTTATAGTTTATCTATATATTTTAATATTTCAGTGTAGTAATATGTATTTTTAAAATTTTTTTTTTTTGAGACAAAGTAGAGTGCTATGGCATCACAGCTCACAGCAACCTCAAACTCTTGGGCTTAAGTGATTCTCTTGCCTCAGCCTCCTAAGTGGAGGGGACTATAGGCACCTACCACAATGCCCAGCTATTTTATTTTAGAGATGGGGTCTCACTCTTGCTCAGGCTGGTCTCAAACTCATGACCTCAGATGAGCCACCATGGCTAGTAAAATTTTTTTATTTGAATAGATTTAGGGGTGCAAGTTGAATTCCATTACAAGTATGTATTGTACAGTGGTGGAGTCTGGGTTTTTGGTGCACCCATCACTTGTACTCCATCTTTCCCCTATGAGTCTACAATCCATTATACCACTCTGTGTGCCCTCATGTAGCCATTTAGCTCCTGCTTATGTGAAAGCACGTGATATTTATTTTTCTGTTCCTGAGTTACTTCACTTAGGATAATGACTTCTAGTTTCATCCAAGTTGCTGCAAGACATTATTTTCATTCTTTCTGACTGCTGAGTAGTACTCCGCGGTTTGTATAAACTACATTTTCTTTATCCACTCATCAGTTGATGGGCACTTAGGTTGAGTCCTTATCTTTGCCATTGTGAATTGTGCTGTGATAAACATACAAGTGCTCATAGCTTTTTGATATAATGATTTCCTTTTTGGAAAAAGGGATATATTATTATATATAATGATTTACCTTTCCTCTGGGTAGATACCCAGTAGTGAGTGGGACTGTAAGATTGAATGATGGATCTACTTTTAGTTTTTTGTTGTTTTTTTTTTTTTTTGAGACAGAGTCTCACTATGTCACCCTTGGTAGAGTGCTGTGGTGTCACTGGTCACAGCAACCTCAAACGCTTGGTGATAAGCAATTCTCTTGCCTCAGCCTCCCAAGTAGCTGGGACTATAGGTGCCTGCCATAACACCCGGCTAATTTTTGGTTGTAGTTCTTGTTGTTTGGCAGGCCCAGGCTGGATTTGAACCCTAGCCACTGAGCTATAGGTACTGAGCCCTACTTTTACTTCTTTGAGAAATCTCCATACTGATCTCTGTAAAAGTTGTACTAATTTACATTTCCACCAACAGTGTATATTTTCACCACATCTACACCAGCATCTGTTGTTTTTTGACTTTTTAATAATGGCCATTCTTACAGGTAGGGTGGTGATATCTCATTATGTTTTTACTTTTTGCATTTCCCTAATGATTAGCGATGTAGAGCATTTTTTCATGTGTTTGTTGGACCTTTGCATATATTCTTTTGAAAAATGCCTGTTCATGTCATTTGCCCACTTTTTAATAGGGTGGTTGTTTTTTTCTTGCTGAGTTGTTTAGGTTCCTTATAGATTCTCATATTAGTCCTTTGTTGGACGCATAGTTCATAAATACTTTCTCCCATTCTGTAGGTTGTCTTTATATTCTGATAATTATTTCTTTTGCTGTGCAGAAGCTTTCTAGTTAGTTCCTGTTTGTCTATTTTTGTTTTTATTGCCTTTGTTCTTAGGGTCTTAGTCATAAATTCTTTGCCTAGGCCAATATCTAGAGGAGTTTTTTCTAGGTTTTCTTCTAGGATTTTTTTCTTGTTTCAGGTCTTACATTTAAGTATTTAATCCATTTTGAGTTAAATTCTATATATAGTGAGAGATGGGGACCCAGTTTCATTCATTCTTCCACATATGGCTGTCTAATTTTTGTCAGCACCATTTATTGAATAATTTGTCCTTTCCACAGTATGTGTTTTTGTCTGCTATTTTGAAGACCAGCTGGTTATAAGTATGTGGTTTTATTTCAGGGTTCTCTATTCTGTTCTACAAAACGAGGTTATATTTTGATCACTAGGTGAATCTCAGCTTCTAATCAGTTTTGATCCAGGATACTCCACTGATCATAGTATTTCCTCTTAATCAAGGATAAAATGAGGCAGAAGATAGTCATGATTAACCCCAAATCAGAGATTTAAACCATAAAAACAAAAACAAAACAGCAACAGATACTCAAAATATATACCGAAAAGAACTTTATGTAGAGTTAATATAGTTAATTACATCCAGTGTTTAGGAATACATTGGCCATTTTCAGACACAAAGATACTAATGGTAAACATTTGTTGAATACTTCCTAAGCTAAGCCTGGTACACGTTATTCTCTTTAACCTTCACAAAAACCATTGAGGTTTGGGTACTAGTGTTCAGTCTTATTTTATGGATGAGAAAACTGTGTCAAAGAAATTGTGCCATCTGGCAAAGGTCACAGCTTACACAACCCTAAGCCAGCATTCAAACTAAGCACTAAACTTGTGGTTTTAAAGGTGTTCTCTTACACATGGTGCTTCCCAACAGTGCGAAAATAATACATATATGTCTAAATGTTTGGCATCAGAAAACTGCCCTGTGACCGTCATGCTCTTAGATGACCTTATGTTTTCTTTAGTGAGTAACTTAGCTGAGACACATGCCCACCTGTGTGCTCCCTCAGTACCTGGTTCCTCATACCTGACCCTGCAGAACTCACCTCCACAGCTACTTTAAAACTCCTCTGGCTGCCCCTTTCTCCTAGGCCTGCTTCCCCATTCTGAGAGGCTGCTGGTGGAGAGGGCACTGCCCCAGCAGGCATGCTCCTCTGATGGGCAGAGATGGTATGGGCCTGTCCTCCCTTTTTACAGTAGGAAATGTAGTGTTAAAGCAATAAATGCCTTCTAATAAATGTTTTCCCTATCCATAGCGAATTTACTTTCTGAAAAACAAATTCAAGGTCTAGTATTTATCTTAACCTTGCTAATCGGCAGTTGGCTATAAATTGTTTTCTTGGGAGACAAGCTGTTTACAAGGCTGGCCTAAACCTGATGACTCTCTTTGGGAGGTTTCAAGTCATAAATCCTTGGTACTCTTTGTACTGATTATGCTGAAGGACATTATGGTTTTATATTTTTGCACTTGCATGTCTCTTAACTGTTCAATCCATCATTTTTGTCATTAGTTTGTTACCTTGATAGCTTATAGACACGCCTCTTCATTTGCTCTTCAGGCTTCCTCTCCACTTACCTGGCGATAGAGGAGTAACATTATTCCTTAGATCAGCAGTACTTGAGTTATTAGAGAATCACCTCTATACTTACTTGAACTGTGTCTTAAGCATTTTTTTCTTAAACATTGGTACCTAAAAGAAGTGTCTGGCACATAACAAGTGTTCAGGAAATGTCTTGAGATATATATGGGTTTGTTCAACATTTTTTTCTTTTTTTCCAGTTCTTGTTCTAATCTTTTGATGGCAATAACATTAATAGTACTTTAGAATAACACTGATTCACTGTTGGTGATCATTATAGGCTTATGTTATTTCTTCCTCAGCTTTAGAGGTCAGAGTAAGAGCTCTATGAACCACTTGGTGGCTGTATTTAAAACTGTTGTAGTCCATAATAAATCTCTCAACTTCAGAAAGAAAATGGGAAAAGATGCTTTAAGAACTTAAGTTTAAATTAAATGCAGAGTTCAGAGGTGCTGCTTTGTGCTCAGTCCCTCCACTTTCTCTCTCTTTCTCTCTCTGTTTTAGACAGCATTATTGACTCATAATTGACAGACAGGAAACTGTACACATTTAAAGTGTATAATTTGGTAAGTTTTAGTATGTGCCCTGAGACCATCACCACAATTAATACAGTAAACATACCCATCACCCCCACAGTTTTTTTCTGTTCTCGGTAATCCCTCTCTCCTGCCCTTCTACCTGCCCTTCCACCTGCCCATCCTTTGGGTAACTAACTACTGTTGGGCTTTTGGTCACCGTGCATTAATTTGCATTTCCTAGAGTATTGGGGTCGTATGTATTTTTTGTTCGGCTTATTTCATTCAGCATAATTATTTTGAGATTCATCTATGTTATTGCATGTTAGTAGAGCTCCATTGGAAATATTATATTTTGGATATAAAATTTATTTATCCAGCTCTACCATTTGCTACCATTGTGACCTCGAGCAACTTAAAATCTTTATAAGCCTTGGTTTCCTAATTGGTAAAAGGGATCAGCTACATCATGGGGTCATTGTGAATTAATTAAGATTACTTGTATAAAGCTCACAGTAAAATGCAGGTAATAACTGCTATTGTTTGTTTATACATTAACTCAGTGTTTGTAGACTTAATAGATCGTGAAACCCCTTTTTCACTGAATACCTTGTAATATCCTGGTGCTGTGGTCATTTACTTTGACATGAGATGGTTTGTTATTTAAGCTTGATTTGTAAGGCGTACCTTCAAATAAATACTTGGAAGCAGCTTCCTGAAGAGGTAGTGTCTGGTATGAAGCAGTCATAGAATAATGGTGCCATGTATGTAAGAATCATCTGGTGTGCTTGTTAAAATGTATACCTCCAGACTTCTTTCCTTTCCAACAAGTCTGATTCTTAGGTTTTGGTAGAGCTTGGGAATCTGTATCTATAACAAGTTCCTCATGAGTTGCTGGTTTGGTATCTGTAGATCCCATTTTGAGAAGTCGGCTGAAGAGGTTAATTGCTTACAAAACTTACAGTATATGGTGGCAGATGTTGTGACGTCTGTGCTGGCACCTTTCAGTGTTGGGAGAAGCTGCTGAATACTCATTTTCCCAAGTGTTATTCTTTACTTGTACTTTGATTCGGCAGATACTTACTGAGTAACTAATTTGTGTCAGACACACTGAGCTGGCTGCTAGCAAAATAAACTTAAGACTTGATCCCATCCTTATGTCTTGATAA